ACCCAAAAGTAAGTCCATATAGATTTCTTCAAAGAGATCACCATTTAGAAAAAAAACATTCTTTACATCCAATTGGATGATCTGCCACTTATTAATGGCTGCAATGGAAAGAAAATTTTTGACAGTGACCAACTTAACTACATGAGAAAATGTTTCAATGAAGTCAAGGCCTTCTTGTTGAGTATAAGCTTTTGCTACTAAACGTGTCTTATATCTGTCAACGCCTCCATCAGACTTGTGCTTGATTTTAAACACCCATTTGCATCTTATAGAATATTTATCTTTTGGTAGCTGGACAACTAACCAAGTATCATTAAGATCCATTGCCTCCAATTCATTTTCCATAGCCTTCCTCCAACGATCAAATTTAACTACTTGATGATAAAATTGTGGCTCATAGCTGGAAGAAATATTGAAGAGATAGGTGCAATGAGAAGGTGAAAATTTCTTATAAGATAGATATTTGTTTAATGGATATTGAGTATGATGATCAAATGGGGTTGAAGAGTTGGTTAGCAGATTGCAATGATAGTCTTGGAGATATGATGGAGTTTTGCTTGTTCTGTTTGATCTTTTAGGAGGTGGAATTATGGATGAACTTGGTTCTGGGTTTGAACTGGGGTGAGGAGATATAATGGCAGTATTGTTAGTAGCGTCATGGACAATATTAGGACTAACAGCAGAAGGTATAAATGTATTGTTGTATGGTGGAATAATATTAGTGCTATGGACAATATCAATGGTTGATTTAGGCAAAACAAGGTCAAGAAAAAGATCAATCAGCTCATTATCATGGGAGATAGAGTAGAAAGGGAAAAGATGTTCATGGAATTTTACATCTCTTGAAATAAAGAATGATTTGGAAACAATGTCATATAGCTTATATCCTTTGACGTCAGGTGGATATCCAACAAAAACACGTATTTTGGCTCTTGGATGAAACTTTGGGTGATGAGATGATAAGGTACAGGTAAATCACAAGCTACCAAATACTCTGAGAGATTGATATTGAACTGGTGATATATAGAGAAGATAGAAAGGATTTTTGTTCTGCAGGATTGGTGATGGTGTCTTGTTGATCAAGAATGTGGCGTGAGTACGCAGTCAACTGAAATTAAATAGGAACTCGGGATTGGAAAAATAAGGCCCTTGCCACATTGAGGAGATACTATTGTTTTCTCTCTACAACTGAGTTTTGCTCAGGCTTTTCAACATAATGATAAGGCATGAGATCATCAATGAAGAATTGAAAGATCATTGCAATAGGACTTACCGAGGACTCCCATCTTCTCAAAGGCAACGAGGTAGAGGTCACACCTCCCACTTAATGGAACACTAGGTTGGACAGTCAACCACCCTCAACTCAGGGCAAGCCATGGCTGTATCAACATTGAATTCAATACAAGCTTTGACTTAGGAAAAAATCAATCATACTATTGAGGCACACCAAGGAATTTCGACCAACTGTTTCCCTAAAGGAAAAGGGATAGAGAGCAAGTTTTTGAATCTAGAAATAGGGATGAGACGCCTCTATATTACACTTATCATCACTCCTACAGCCATAATACAACTGATTGTAGGGACATTGCCTTGCATCTATAGCCTAATAATCAAAGAAGGAACACACACCCACGAGACGCACCTCTTAGACAAGATCGACAGACTAGGAGACTCGTTGATACCAAGTGTCCCATTTAAAATGATATGCAACACTAGTCAGGAACATATTCGAGAGATTTACATAATCTTTGGAGATACTTACGTTGGAGGTGAAACTAGAAATCCACAAAGGAATTATGCAAGGAAAGCTAGGGATCCCCCAATGGCAAGCTTCATAGTCAACAACAGTTGACCTTCGATTGGAAGATGGGTTCAACCTATTACTTTCATACAAGATGATGCGGTTGGCGTGCATTATCCACTTAGCAATGCCTCAATAGTAAGGGTCGTTGTAATACGAATTTGCCTCAAAAGAATGTTAGTGGTTAATGAGAGTTCGATCAACATCATATTTGGAGTAACCTTTGACAAAATGGAAGTAGACCATGAGCTAACCCCTATGAGCTTTCCTTGTATGGCTTCACTGACGATGGTATAACCCCAATGAAAAAAATACCCTAGCAGTGGAGATGAGGACGACATCATTAACTACTCATCATTTTATAGAGTTTTTGGTGGTGGACAACCTCTCTGCTTACCATGGAATGCTAGGAAGGCTAGCATTAAAGGAATTATGGATTATTACGTCCATCCACCACTTGTATATGAAGCTCCCTACGGAAAGCGACAACGCTTCTATTAAAAACGATCAAATGACAACAAGGGAGTATTATTTACACTCCCACAGGAAGTTCAAACCAAGAAATGTCAATGTAATTTTGATGGACATTGACATGGATGACATCTCTGAACAAGGGCAAAACCTTAAGGAGGGGAAAGACGTCGAAATGGTAGACGCCTCTGAAGAAGAAGCTATCTTTGAAGTGATAACAACCCCGAAGAAGGGAGAGCTACTGAAGAAGTGGCTAAATTTGATGAATAGGATCCTCGTATCATCAATTACGAGGCTCAAATAGCCCCAGTGGAAGAAATGGAGAGTTTTACAGTAGATCCCTAGAGCCCTTACATATCCTTACAGGTGGACAAAGACCTGCCAGTGGAGGCTAAGGAAAAACTGAAATGTTTCTTACGCGAAAACTTGAATATCTTTGCTTGAAAATATGAGGACATGGTTGACATCGACACATAGGTTAGTTGTCCCCACTTGAAGAATGATCCAAAAGCTACTCCTTATCTGCAGAAAAGAAGGGCTCTCAACTCAGAAAGGTATGTGACCTAGAAGGATGAGGTAAAGAAGTTGATTGACAATCATTTCATGCGAGAATCAACATATTCGAAGTAGGTATCTAACTTTGTCTTGGTTAAAAAGCATAATGGTAAGTGGAGGGTGTGCGTTGATTTTTCCAATCCTAACCAGGCTTACCCCAAGGACAGCTTTCTACTATCATGAATAGACCAGCTCATTGATTCTACTACTGGATACAAACTATTGAGTTTCATGGAAGTCTATTCAGGCTATAATCAGATTCCAATGTACCTAGTGGATGAAGAGCTACGTCCTTCATAACGGACTGGGGTATCTATTGCCATAATGTCCTTTAGGTTGAAAAATGATGGGCCCACTTATCAGAGGCTTGATAACAAGCTGTTTCCAAACCTCATTGGGAAGACAATGGAAGTATACGTGGATGATATACTAGTGAAAAGGTTGACGGTAAAGGATCATGTGGAGTACCTTGATGAAGCCTTTCAAATACTATAAAGGTGCAGGATGAGGCTTAACCCCCTCAAAAATGCGTATTTGGAGATGCCTTAGGGAAATTTTTTGGCTACATGTTTAACCAAAGAAGAATAGAACCTAATCCTGAAACGATCGAAGCTTTGGTCGAAATGAGATCGCCTTAGAAGCCGAAAGAGGTACAGAGCCTCACAGATGCATAGTAGCCTTGAGTCTCTTCGTCTCAAAGGCAATAGACAAGTACCATCTTTTCTTCAAGGTTCTAAAAGAAGGAAAGAAATTCCAGTGGACAGAGGAGTGCGAAATAGCCTTACAAAAGTTGAAAAAGCACTTAGGACGGGCTCCTCTCCTTTCCAAGCCCAGGGTTCACCAAACCTTACAATTGTACTTGGTAATAACCTCGAACGCTATCAGTTTAGTGCTTATAAGGGAGGAAAATAGTCACCAACTGCCTGTTTATTATGTGAGCACTCGACACTCTATTATACAACCTCAGTTCTCAGCTTCCAGAAATGAAGTACTCACTTGGAAATGGATACAAAATGACCATTGATGTCATAAATGATCCGCGTTACTACGGTAAGCAGTAACCTAAAACATATTTGAACTCCTCAAAATTGATTTTATGGCTTTCTAAATATTAACACATAGAGGATGGACCTAATCGATTTTCGTTTTCTTCCGTTGTCAGAATTTCATAACACGGATACAGAATGCTGTGGAACGTGAATTTTGAAACTACAGCATCGCTTTGTCCAAATCGCAGGAAGTATTTATTCTGGGATTTGTTCCACCCGACTCAGAAAACTACTCGTCTGGCAGCTGAAACCCTCTATTATGGTCCAACACTATATGTGTCCCCAATTAACTCCTTTCAGTTAGTAAATGACAATTAGCATAAAACTGTAACCACAAACTTGTGATACGTCTCATTCACTATACAAGAATAAACAGAGATCTTTATTTGATTCTGTCTGTGTCGATGTTGTATTACTTTAATATTAGTAAATATAAGTGTATTCCAAACTGCTATATGCCTACTTTCCATTTACCTTCAGAATTTTCTTCTTTTCGGAATCTTATTTCAATCACAACCGTATAAAATATATGATTCAGTTCTGTCTGTCTTTGCATTTGTTCGTTAGGTGAATGAAAACAAAATTAAGAGTTAGGATTCAGGAACCATTATATACCTAATCTGTGGGTTTGGTTAAGTGAATGCAAACTTAATTAAGAACCATTCAATACCTAAATTGTGGGTTCGGTTAGGTGAATGCAAACTTAATTAATAATTAAGAAGCATCGAATACTTAATCTTTGGGTCTGCAGTTCTAAATTGTGTGTTTCAGTCTGATTTATTTTTTCCTATACTAATTGCCAATAGAAACACTCGGAAAGATACCTTGTAGCATATAGAATATCCTGCAGAATAAATTTCTCGAGGCGTCCACATTGAGCAATATGATACTATGATTAATACCCGTATTTTGTACTAGATGGTTATGGGATTGGAAGATTCTCCAAAACAGCTGGACTGATTGTAGGAATTCACCTCATTTCAATGTTGGTTTTATAAATTCATTGTAGGTGACAATTTTACTGATTAAAGCAAATCAACCACAGCCTATACAATGCTTTTAATAAACTAAGCAATTACATTTAATAGTGTGTCTTATGTTGAGAAGAACGAACTACTTATCATCTATAACCCAAAATCATGGGGATCTGAATCATCAACTGCGTTCAACACCATTTCATGTTTACCAAGTGCACTCGGAAGCTCTTCTCTCTTCTTATGCATCTCCAACCAGTTTTCTGGCTCCTCAAATAAATGCAAGATCTGCAATAAAATAAAAGAATAAATAAAATGTAAATGTCCTTCCTTGGACATAGGTAATACGGGCACATTCACTAGTCATATTTATAACTTGGAGACCTTTCCTACAATTGATTGTCTGCTAGAGGTCTAGTACTAATTTATCTACTTAAATTTCAAATGAAGATCTCTCAGGGTATAAATTAACAAAATACATTCAAGGAATCAAAACGAAAAATTCAACATTTAAATTGCTTCACTTCATTGACATGTTGGTGATCAAATATATTTCCTTACTCAGACTTTACCTAGAATAGGGGTTGACAATTGGTGAGTGAGATGTGAAATGCATGATGTTCCTAGAATTCAAAAAAGAGCTATTTTCGTAGTGAAAGATCAAAAAGATTACGGTTTTCATTGTTGGCCTTCTAGAAGATGAATGCAAGAGACACAGGCGAGCTGCAATCATCATTGTTTTCATCTCATCCTTGTCATAGTCTTCCTTGAGGTCAGGATCAATTAGTCGCTCACATAGGCTGCAGGTGAGCAGAGACCTTGCCTGCATATTTCTTTGGAATTTAAGTGAAAGAAGAAATCTAACATAAAATTTTATTTCTGATTGAGGTTGATTAATTTCCATTACCCAGAGTACCAAGCTTTCACGATTGGATGGTGAGTTTGATTGAATAGCTTCTTTCCCAGTAATTAATTCCAAGAGTACCACTCCATAAGAATAAACATCTATTTTTTCATCAACTTTTCCATACATCATGTACTCTGGAGCCAGGTATCCAAATGTTCCAACAACATTAATTGGCTTTGCATATGCAGATGATGACTGCTGAGTTTGCTGATGTACAATTGCTGCCCCAAAATCTGACAGCTGAAAGGTGGAAAACAGAGTTAGTTTTCATAAAGATGTGAATCATGTGATTATGTAAAAGTGTTTATGTTGGGCAATGTTTATTGCTTGTGCAGTCTGCATCTGAACAATCCATGAAAAAACAACATGCACAAATTGTATTATTTAACTCTGAGTTTGTTATGGAACTTCTTGATATTTTCAAACATCCGTACCAACTAGCTCTATTTGAGTCTCTAACAGTACCATGTGTTGGCATTCGAGTCACTTGTCAAAGGCCATATCTCCTATTTCCTTTCCTTCTTTTTCGTTTTCTTGCTTTTGAGTGTTCCAGAATCTATACTGACAAAATTCCAGTTCTTGGAATGATTGTTATGTTGCAAATGCATTATCAATTATCTAAACGAACAATACATTTAATAGTGCAGTAAAAATGGTACTCAATGAAGACTTACTTGTGGTTTGCAGTCTTCGGAGAGGAGGATGTTAGATGACTTCACATCCCTATGGATGATGGGTGGATAGAAAGAATGAAGGTATTCCAATGCCCGTGCCACACCAACTGCAACTTGCATCCTCTCTTTCCAAGTAAGGTATTTGAGTCTTTGTTTCAGGCTTGAACTTAGCAAGTTATAAACAATTGCACGTATATCTTTACTGTAACAGTATCCAAGTAGGTGAATCATGTTTTCATGGCTCAAGCCACTTGATATCTCCACTTCCCGGAAAAGATCCTCTTCAGATAATCGGGAGGACTTGAGGACTTTCACTGCCACAGCCTGATCATTGTTAAAAACAGCTCGATAAACTTGACTATGTCCTCCTTCTCCGATCAACATATCGGGACTAAAATTTTGTGTTGCGCACTTTAACTCGTCAAATGTATAGCGCCTGGTGTATCCCTTCACTTGTAATGTAGCTAATCTTTGGAACAATTCTGGAGTTGCAACATCATAACCTTGCAAGTTTTCCTTCATGATTGGCCAGTTTCTACTTTCATTTTGTTGTGGTTTTGATGATGTTGAGGAACATGGCATTGACGAAGATTTTTGGAACAGAGGCTTAGTTCCTGGCTGATCACAGCTTTTGGATCCTGATAAAGATGACACAGAAGGTCGAAGAACTTTAATAGAGGATCCTTCCTGCAAAGATCTAAGAAGTTTAATATAGGATCCTTCCTGGGAAGATCCCTCTTTCTGTAATAAAATCTTTCCTCCATTATCCATTACTAGAAGGGTGCAAGTGGGAGGTAATGCTTTCAAACATTTTGCAATTGTTGAATCTTTTGGCCTGAAAACAGTAACTGGTTAGAGCAAGAAATGCAGAATCTATGTTGAATAACCATGTCAAAGATAGATGATGACCATACCATGGACTTGTGCATCCCACCGCAAGAATTGTTGCAAAATTTATCCGAACTTGGTGGCTTAATTCAGTAATGTAACAGTTTCGTCGACAAACCTTGACTTCAAAATCCACCTGAGCAAGTCATCAACCAAAGGTATCAAACATCCTAACAATCAGGGCATCAAAAGTTCTCAGAAATTTAACTCAAATATTTTGTCTAAAAGGTAAAAAAAAAGCTCACCTGCTTCGACTTGCAGAGATCTTCGTGGATGTAAAAGGTGTTAGGATCAAATGTATCATCTGATCCCTGAACATGAACTGCCAGAACATAGTCTCCTGCTACCACAACCGAATTTAGTAAACGGAGAAGCATTTCTCTGCTGGAATTATCAGATTTTAGACCGACTATGATTCTTCTTTTCACTGTTCTGTTTCCGAGCAGTGAAAAGATTCCTTTGTTGATCTTCGGGTTACCAAACATCATAGATAGATTGGTTTTCAATGAAAAGGGAGCATCCCATTGCACTGATTGACTAAAACATCAATTTTCTTAAACTACTGGGATATGATTGTTGGCTCATGAATCTGGTAATCCTAGCCTTGTCCAATATGGTAGATCTTGATTTGATTCATGTGGCCCCCTTCATAAATTCCAGTAGCTGTTGTATTAATTTAAGCATTTACTAATATCTGGTAAGTAATTCAAAAGAAATACAGCTCAATGTCATGGATCAGTGCAAACTTGTTCTCTGAATAGGCATGAAACTTCAGGAAATTCCACATCGATTCTAGAATAATATATTAAGGCCCATTCGGCAGGGCTTTTGATTCTTGCAGCTGCTTCATATCATACTTTTTTCAAGGGGGTTCTGTTTTGTGTATATCAAAAAGTTGTATGTCTTGTATGTATCTGGCTCCAGCGACTCCAAGTATGTTCGTTTATTATAAATTTGACATTGTTGTCCAAAAATATTTCTGAAATTGGAGAATCTGTAGTTGACAACACCTGATTTCCGAACACAGTGAAGAGAATTGAATATAATAAGGCTTCGGTTGAATCACAATCTCAATAATCTGGACATAGTAAAATAGCAAATCTGTTGGTGTTTAACATGGGCAAGCCCAATAGTCAAAACGGAATAGAACCTCTTCATTACCAGACTGGCCGACATGAAGTAGGTTTCATTAAATGGTATGAAGTTAACTTAGTGTCATGCTCAACATTTTCTATTGGATTTGTGGCTAATGAAATTTCATTACACATGGTCATATCGAGTGGAGAGTGGAGTATGGACCCAAACTGAGTAATGATTAGGAATGGTCTCATTTATAGGGGAATAGGACGAAAATAGTCGGCACACTCCTTATCACCAAAAGGTCCACGCTTTAAATTTGTCACCTTTCTAGTCTTCTAATATGCATAATTTTGATTTTGAGTTCACTCAAAAAGATTCAGTTAGGATTCCCAACAAGCCAACGCCTGTCCCATAGGAAACAAATTTATTGGAGTCGAAAAATAAGTCATTTGTATACCGACTGCATGTACATTCAGATCAAAAATTCAAAAAACGTGGAAATCCATATATGACTACCATCAAAAAGAAATCTTGCCCCTCTCTCTTGGTTAAAACCCAGGGGTAAGTAGAAGAAATAGCCGTAAACGTCCCAAGTAATGCAAGTTGCAATATAGCACTTTTCTTCTCAAATAGAAATCTCATTGAAGCCACTTAAAAATTTCTACACCACAAAATGCATAAATATTTGTTCAAAATAAGCACTGGATGGATCTAAGGATGGAGTATGTTGACCCCACAAAATGAACTCAACAGATACCGGGTCCAACCTTGCCACGTCAAGCAATGATCCGACGCGTTTCTACCGAAACATGAGTGGTAGTATAGTTGGAAGGAACGCAGGAGGTGCTTTCCGACAAGAGACACGACTGTTCAAGCTTCGGTGGTTTTATTTAAACGGCCCTTGCGCTATCAACAAGAGTTCGATCGATTTCCCTGTGGTTTTATTTAAACGGCAAGTTTGTCCACCTTGGAATTCAAGCGAGGTGATCCCTGTGGGAATGTCAACCTCTCTTCCGAGGTGCTAACGCTTCCTTGCATGGTCGATGGTTCATCTATGCAAAGGCTTCTTCCTTCATACTTTGGTCGCCAGAGGAAGGCATATGTATCCACCTCGAAATCCAAGCGAGGTGATCCCTGTGGGAATGTCAACCTGGACACATCGGAATCCAAGCGAGGTCAGCAGAGGAAGGCATGTGCTTCAGTAACTCATTTGCACACAAATTATTTATTTATTTACAAAGACCAGGAAAAACCCCCAGCCGTGGCACACATTTACTGGTAGTATATTCGCAAGTGCTCGATATTCCATGGATGAGGCTGAACCTTCCCATCCATGTCTTCGATCCAGTAAGTTCCAAGTTGGACTTCCCTCTTGACACGATAGGGTCCTTCCCAGCTAGGTCCCAAGGCTCCTACTCTTTGCTCTTTGGAGGACAAGAAACCCGTTCGAAGTGCCAGATCATTTATCCGGAAGGATCTCTTCTTCACCCTAGCATTGTAATACTAGGTCATCTTTCTTTGATACGTGGCCATTTTTATTTGGAAATTATCCCTCCTTTCTTCAAGGAGATCCAACCTACATATTCTTGATTCATAATTATCTACCTCATTGAAGTGTATCCTCCTGGGGGATGGGAGACCCACTTCAACGGGGCTCATGACTTCTGCTCCATATGCCATCGAAAACGGGGTCTCCCTGGTGGCAATATGAATGGTGGTCCTGATAGCCCATAGAACCTGGGGTAGTTCATCCACCCAAGCCCCTTTCGTTGCGTCATGTTTCCTTTTCAGGGTATACTTGATGGTTTTGTTTACAGCCTCAACTTACCCGTTTGCCTGGGGGTGATGTGGGGAAGAGAAGTGTTTCTTGATGCCCAATTCCTCGCACATCTCCCTTAATTTCTCCTTATCAAATTGCCTGTCGTTGTCTAATACAATTGAATGAGGGATACCGAGCCTGCAAACGAGGTTTTTCCAAATGAACTTGGAGGTGTTGGCTCAACTTCCAACCATTTTGTGAAATAATCGATAGAGACAATGGCAAAGTTGGCTCTTCCTCTTCCTTTAGGCAATGGCCCAATTAGGTCAATCCCCCATTTTGCAAATGGCCAAGGACTTGAGACCACATTCAATTTTCGCGAAGGCTACCTCTGTATAGTGGCAAAACGTTGGCATTTGTAACATTTTTGTACAAACTGCTGCGCAGAGTCCCTCATGGATTTCTTTGAGCACATAGTTTGCTTGCTCTTCTCCAATACATCTTAGAAGGGGTAGAGAGTACCCGCGCTTATACAATACATCATCTTGGAGGATGAAGTAGGCAGCCCTTCTCCGTAGTTTCTGAGCTTCCTCTTTCTGATGAAGTAGGATCTGATCCTTTAGCTAGGATATGATAGGTTTCATCCAGAGGGGTGCACTTTCTATCCATATTATCGTGCCGCTAACTTCGATTGAAGGCTTGGCGAGGTGCTCAATTGGAACCACAATGAGTAGTTTTGAGTCTTTGCTACTTGCTAACTTTGCCAACGCGTCAGCGTGAGTATTATGGGACCTTGGTATCTGCATCAGTTCGAACCTTACCAGCTTCAAATGAGCTGCCATAGATTTGTCCCTGGCAGAATAATTTCCATGGACTTGGCTGACCACCAATTGGGAGTTACTGTTGATTATGAGTCTTTTTACTTGTAATTCCTTCGCCAATCGGAGACCAGCTAGAAGAGCCTCTTACTCAGCTGCATCATTGGTTGCTTTAAAGTCGAACCTTACGGCACAAGTGAGTTTGTGTCCTTCTGGGCTGACCAATATGATTCCTACCCCTGAGCCAGTTTCTCTGGAAGATCCACCCACAGAGAGCCTCCATATCTGGGATTCGGTGGCTATGGAGCTTAGTGAGTTATTGGGTACGGGGGTGAATTCTGCCACAAATTTAGCCAGGGCTTGCCCTTTAATGGCTATCCTTGGTTTGTAACTAATGTCAAACTCACTAAGCTCCATAGCCCATTTAAGCAGTCTTCCCGAAGCATCAGGTTTTTGAGACACCTATTTGAGGGGGTAATTGGTTATCACGTGTATGCTATGGGCCTGGAAATTAGGCCTTAGTTTCCCTGAGGCTATTATTAAGGAGAAGGCCAGCTTTTCCATGTCAGGATATCGTGTCTCAGCGGCGAGGAGCGCCTTGCTGACATAGTAAACTGGTAGCTGATGGTTGTTTTCCTCATTTATTAAAACTGAGCTTACTACCTCGGGGGTTACTGCCAAATACAAGTGCAATACTTCATGGTCTGCCGGTTTGGAAAGAAGAGGTGCTTGCCCTAGGTGCTTCTTCAATTCTTGTAGAGCTACCTCACAATCTTCAGTCCATTGAAATTTGTTTCTCCCCTTGAGAACTTTGAAGAAGGGGAGGCATTTGTCTGTCGCTTTAGATATAAAGTGATTTAGGGCTGCTGCCCTTCCAGTAAGGCTTTGAACTTCCTTTGGATTTTAGGGTGACCTCATTTCAATCAAAGCTCTGACCTTTTCAGGGTTCGCTCCGATACCTCTTCGATATTTTTGCAGGATCTGGAAAGCCTTATCTAGGTAGGAAATGTGGTATGTTGATTTTTGGCTCTTCATCAGCATGTCATCCACATATACTTCCATGGATTTACCGATGAGGTCGGCAAACATTTTGTTAACTAGCCTCTGGTACGTTACTCCAGCATTCTTCAATCCAAAAGGCATGCTTTGTAGCAATAGAGCCCCTTATCGTTATGAAGCAGGTGTGGTCTTCATTCGATGGGAACATGATGATTTGATTGTGCCCAGAGTAAGCGTCCATGAAGTTGAGGAGCTCATGTCCAGCAATTGAGTCTACAAGCTGGTCTATCCTTGGGAGTGGGAAGCTGTCCTTTGGGCATGCTTGGTTTAAATTCAAGAAATCAATACACACCATCCACCTCCTATTGTGCTTTTTTTACGAGAACTGGGTTGGAGGCCCATCTTCGATACAAAGATTTCCTAATGAAGCCATTATCAATCAGTTTCTTGACTTCATCCTTCAGGGCTTCATATCTTTCTGGGTTGAGGGCTCTCCTTTTTTGCCTGTGAGCAGTGGCTTTCAGATCAATATTCAGGTGGTGGCAGCTGACCTTTGGATCGACGCCTATCATGTCGCCATGCTTCCAGGCGAATACATCAAGATTTTTGCATAGGAAGTTTTTCAACTTCTCTTTCATTTCGTGCGGCAAATTGCTTCCCACCTGTAGGGGCTTTGTTAAGTCCGTAGGGTCAGCTAGGTAGGTTTCCAATTCCTCCATTGGAGCCGTTTGAGGCTCGTAGTCAAAGACCCGGGGGTCCAATTCTTCCAAACTGATTGTTTCTTCAGCGATTGGTCCTTTTTCAGGAGCTTCAGGCATAAGGATATCTT